CCCCAAAACCCCAAAACCCCAAAACCCCAAAACCCCGACATATAAGTTCAGGGTTGGAAAGTTTAATAATAAATTCCAGAACATGCTTAGTACAGAGTTTAACTTCCAATACAACCAGCTGTTTCCTCAATGGGACTTCAGCACTGATTATGTAAGCAGTCAGAACCTCATCTTTAGGAAGAGCTTCTTCAGTTTAGTGAGAAATATGGCACTGTAGACCATGAATTGGGTAATGACCCACAGCTGAATATTTCTTCTTGAGAAACTGAAGAAGATGTTATTTCAGAGCAATTACATAAGGCTTCCATCAAAAGCAAGTATTCATTAAGGAAAAATCCAAGAAGAAAGCTAAAGTGATTTCTTGGTGAATCTACCCTGAAGTTGAGGAATACTCTAGACCCATCTCTTTTTAGTTCAGAAAGAGGGAAATACTCTATGAGAAAAGATATTGTCTGAAAAACTATCTTGAGAGCAATCAGGAGGTTTTACAGAAACATTTTCAGAGCGAAGAATCATTATCTATTCGTATGGAGGATAGTGGATGTTCCAGAAGAAGAGCTTACTAAAGCTGTGAATAATATGTGAGCAGAACTTTTCTCTCCAGAAATTATTGATAAATATGAGCTCAATGAATTCATACAGACTTTTCTTGACCTTAAGGTTTCATCTAAGAAGAAAGTAATGAAAAGATCAGAAAATGCTATCCACGCATTGAAGTGATGCAAGAACTTCTCCTTAAGTGGGTTTAATAAGTTTCGAAACGATCCCTGATTCCAGAATATTTGCTTAAAAATTTGAATTGATTTTGAGAAGGAGTTCTTGGCTACTCTCAGAATCAGCAAGCAGAACCTTGACAAATACCGTCGAGTTCTTCGAAGTCTCTGCTCATAAATTAATTTTGATTTAAAATGTTGAGATAATTTTGTGGGATTAAAAATTTGCCATAAATTCAGAGATTATTTCTAGAACAAGATCTGGAACAATTGGGGAAATTATTACCTCTCCAGCATATTAGATCGAGGCTTAGGGATTTTTGGCTCTTTCCAAATTTTAGAAATAAGTATCATTGCTTAACAATAGGCTCAGAGGAAGATATTTAGAAATTTCGAGAAATAGAAGAAAATAATGCATTGGTCCTTGTCTTCTTCATGAATATTAATATTGGCAAAAGAGTTATAGACTTTCTCATTGTATAAACTGCTGTTCAATATAACTTCTAAAGGTCTTTACCATTAGTCTTCTCTTCAAGGGACTTAAAATCATAAACCACCGAGTCTGTAGAACATTCCTAATTTGAAACTAAAAAGCCTGACTGCATTCTTTTGTACGCAAACATGAGTCTATAACCTCCTTAATGCTTGCAGAAAACTTAAGATGCTAATTCTCAGCTATAGGACTTGCACTGGCTTCTCTTTCTCTTTTGAAAATCATTTGATAGTTTCTTCGTATAAGGCAAATGGTGGCAAATTTTATATCCCTGTTTTCAATTTGCTGATAGCATAAAGGGGTTTTGGGGTTTTGGGGTTTTGGGG